GTGAGAGGGAGTGACAGATTCTTACTGACTAAAATCCACTCCGTTCCTACTCCTGCTCGTCGAGCCGGAGCCCCGTCAACTCGTTAGGCCTCCCGCGACACCGTATCGAGCATCAGCCCTACTGGGCTCCATCTATGATGGTGTCATGGCTCTGTAAGGCGCGCGCCGTATGCACGGGCCTGATTCTGGTCGGGTGGCGAGCTACCCTTGCTCTTCGTCTACAGACCCGCACTTACGGTGGCCGGTGGCCGGCCGATCTCCGACGCCCAGAGTGTCTCCCGCGACGGCTGGGGCGTGAGGAAGTTCATTCCCTCACACGCTCCGCTTTCTCCTTGGCAAGCATAACTGCTTCGCAGAAGGATACGACTGCATCCCAATCCCCCTCGCTCCATGGCCTGAACCAAAGCCGAACGCGAGAACACGGCGGTGCTCAGCCCATGCAAGGTACACCGCCACGGTATGCTCCACCGTGTTCTCCGGGCGGTCCTTGCATTGATGGCCTCTCTAAAGCCACTTTTAAAGATGGGACTTTCCGCTGCAATGACAGCGAGCCCAGCCCTCGGTTACCTAAAGGAGTGTTTCGCTGTGTAAGTGAGGTTACCGGAGGCCCAATTACCCCTCCCCCAGCCCCCCCAATTCCTGACAATCCTCAAATTACCAATTCCCAAAAGACCGGTAACGCACTTCTAGCACTTCTGGTGTTACAGGTGTCCATGGGCGGCGCAGATTGCTTACCATCAGGTTATCCGTCTGCTCGTTTACCGGCTTATGCCATAAACAAACAGCAAACTATCATAGTGAATTTGGCCTTGACGGTCTAAAATGAAAAGGACTAATATTATTTTTTAGCTACGAATTCAAGTAAACTGAAAATATTTTATTCGTGGTTTTATCTCCTTAGACTGCTGTCAACCTCTTTGCATACCTTAATATTAATACCATAGTATAAAAAAAATCTATGACGCATTGACTTTGTAAACTCACTTGTCACACAAATGTCAGATGACTTAAGAAATAAATACTAATAATATAAATTTGTATGTGCTTGTTTGTTTGTTTGTTTGTCCGTATTTCACGACAGAACGGAGTCAGAAAGGTTTTTGATTTGAGATAGTTGAAAAGATGGAGAGTATCATAGGCTACTTTTTGTCTTTTTCTAACCCCCTTCCACTTCCGTGAAACAGAGGTGAAAGTTTGTATGGGGTATTTTGCAATTTTCAATGTGGAAAGCTAACAATTGGTATGCGGGTTATTTGTGACCAGCATAGAATCGTGCATCATTTCATTTTTTTATTGTAAATCCTTCCCTCACCCCATTAAAAGAACGCGAGAGAAGCCGCAGACAGAGGCTAGTCTATGAATAAATTGTATTCAGTCAATTGAATTCTTATTTTACCTTTAAAATCTCTGATGCAGCTGAATACTAATTTATATGTTGATGCCAAAATATATTATGGAAGTAGGACGCCATAACAATTACAAATCATCAGGTTGGTTACCATAGTAATGTTACCTGTCAGATATCCGTTTTCAGGTTTTCAGATAAATCGTAATAATTATTCTTAAAAATCGACATAGTGAGTCGAAATTTCAAAAACGCTAGAACAAATGTTTTATTATTTTTTATCAAGTGCTTAAATGTAAAGTTTCATGGTTTTATCTTTAAAAATTATGAAATCCCATACAACTTCCCCCCCTTTTTAGCCCCTTACAACCCCTTTTTCGCGATAAAAAGTAGCCTATGTTTTATCTCGGGGTCTAGAATATCTATATACCAAATTTCATTCAAATCCGTTCAGTAGTTTTGGCGTGAAAGAGTAGCAGACAGACAGACAGACAGAGTTACTTTCGCATTTATAATATTAGTTAGGATTATAAGTTTGAAAGCGCCAACCCGCAAGTGTGGTGATTAATGCTCAAACCTTCTCCGTGTGAGAAGAGGCTTTGCTCAGTAGTGGGCACTTATTTGTTGATGTAATTACTTATTAAAATTAAAGTTGTAAGTCTACTTCGAAACAATAAACTAGGCTTCGTAGCTTCTGAATACCTAGTACCTTTATTAATAACAATTGAATAATTCCACTAAAGCCTACTTCAACCCTCTCTTTTTTGAAGTCGGTATACTAATATAATAGAACCTTCTCCTAAATGTAACAAACAATTTTTTTCTGAAAACCGCATCAAAATCGTTCCAACCCACCGCGAGATAATAGCACACATACATACAAACATACATACAGGTCAGCTCTTTCTTTTATGAAGTCGGTGAAAAATACCTTGCACACTTGTGGGAGAGCCATGCTTCGGCACGAATGAGCCAGCCCGACCGGAGTGATACCACGGCCTTACAGAAAACCGACGTGAAGCAACGCTTGCGTTGTGTTTCGTCGTGTGAGTGAGGTTACCCGAGGCCCAATTAGGTACTCTCCCCTCCCCAATCTCCCCAATTCCTGAATCCCCAACGATTCTCAAACTCCTAATCCCCAAAAGGCCGGTAAGTCACTTGTAACGCCTCTGGTGTTCCAGGTGTCCATGGGCGACGCCGATTGCTTACCATCAGGTTATCCGTCTGCTTGTTTACCGGCTTATGCCATAAAAAAAACCTCTACCCGACGGTTAAAATTCAAGATTAGTAGTAAAGCTTACGACCTCTCGATCAACCATGAAAGAGCTATCCATAATCTGGAGATCATAATCGTAAATCTGCTTTAGTAAATAATTTATACCCATATCTATTTGTTTTAATGGTGAGCAATATAAATGTATCTATATCTCAATTAAATTATACTATTACAATAAATAACGATTAGATTTGATGTGGTACGTTAAAATTATTTATTCATTTACAATATTCATGCAACTATATGATTTAAATCAAATGTTATCAGTAACTACCCAATAAGTAGGAGAGGCTGGAATTATGCCCAGCGTTTGCCAACACGTATGTACTACATATTACGAAGGGAATAATATTTACGTAGATGATAAAGATAGAAGTATAACAAGTAAATTTTTATGTATTTTTGTAACATAATGTTGGTAATTTTATTATTATAATACTCAATTTACACTACTTTTTTTCATGACGGGGAACCCTCTAAACGTGCCTAGCTTTTTGGGGAGAAAGATTAGGGAGTGTGGGTTTCGTACCACGCTAAAACCAGCCCTGTGGCCACCCTCAGGACCTGTAAGGGGGCACCGGGTCTTCTGAAGAGACCTGCTCTGGAGCCCCCACGGTGCAACGCCTGTTACAGCACATCCCTAAGGAGACCTGCGTGTCCCTTGATCATCGCTTTGCACGGCAACACGTGACCACTGTGCCACCGTCTTCCCTGAGGCCACTGGGTGGGCACCTAGAGTCCCTACTCTATGCACCTGTGGCCAATTTACACTATCTACATGTATAATGTGCGTTAATATGTAGGCAAGCATGTTCGTGACACGTTTATGCCAAAAAATCTAAACGTAGCAGAATTTTGCGCTGCGACGCACTTTAGGTTGATTTTGTGTTTCTAAATTCTTGTTGTGTATCGTAGCAAAATAAATGGTTTTTCTTTCTTTCAGTACCAACTTATTCCAGGAAAATTAACAGCACTAACTGTAGAGGTAAAATGATAATGTGTACCGACATTACTGTTACGTAGGGCGACTGTTTATTTTAGCTTCGTAGCCCAGTAAACTATTATTTACGATTCATACAATATACATCACGGTTCTGTAAACACGGTGTCCGGTAACCATAATAAATAAATCTTTACATTTTTCCTACAGAACTCGTGAAATAATATATAAACATGTCAAATTCTTAAAGTTTGTCTACCAGTTCATATTGTTGTGTCGCGAAACTTTTTAAATAAATCACATAGTAACCAGTTTTAGGACACGTGTGTACGAGGAACTTTTGACTGGACTCATGTGAAGCATGGGTCACGGGGTCTTACGGGGTCCACGGGGTCTAAGAAATCTATTACAACCTATTTGTATACCTCTACAAATAACACGTTTTGTTTTTTATTGGATAATCCGGTTAACGAGCAGACAGATCACCTGATGGTAATCGGCGTCGTCGCTAATGGTCACCTTGAACACCGAAGGTGTTACAAGAGCGTTATCGGCATTTTGGGGATTAGGAATTTGAAGATTGTTAGGGATTCAGGGATTGGGGAGATTGTTGAAGGGGGAGGGGTAAATGGGGCTCCGGTAACATCACTCACGCGACGAAACAGAACGCTAACGTAGTTTCACGTCAGTTTTCTGTGAGGCCGTGGTATCACTCCGGTCGAGTCATCATTATTGTATGGAATTTATGTCAAAATTTTATCTTTAGTATGCATACCTAAGTAAGTATGTAAATATTACATATTTTTATTGATAGGTAGGTTTTTTGAAGTGGGTTTTAAAAGCCTTATTCGTAAGTTATTCAGTGTAGTTTATAAACAGAACATAGAAGTAGAATCGAATTTTCCGTGGATTTTTATCATTTTTGTCTTCAGTCTTCCGTCAAACGTGTCTCGTCTGCGCAGGCCGTTATATTTAAAAATGCTGCAGACACTCGCGATGTACAGCCAAAATATGAAGTTTACCGTGAAAAGTTTGGATGTGTAACTGACGTGTGAAGTCAATATTTTGTTACCGACTTGATAAATTGAGTTTCAAATAGTTTCGTGATGTGATGTCAACGTTACAATTAGTTTTTCTAGGTAAATGTTAGTCTGTTATGAACGCTCGAATGTTATTTTTAGTCATAGCAAAAAAATTGAAGTTTCTATTGAATTTTAAAAGTGGAAGGCTGTCTTAACTTTTGTCAATGCGTGGCAACGACGGCACAAAAAGATCGAAGAATAAATGAGTACCTAACTATTTTAGCTAAGTTCATCGTCAAAAAATACATAATTTTTCGAATTTATTTGACTTTACTTTCAAAGACTTTGTATTATATTTTTAATTATATTAAGATTTTTTTGTATAGATAAACAATCAAACATAATGCTGATACTTACTCTGTAAGGTGAATGACAGCCAGTAACAGGAATACCAGGGCACATGATGGCCGCACGATGTCCATCCTCTGTCTGCAACAAATACAATACATTCCATTAATATTGGAGACTAATTGTTTCATTATTATTTACATATTGGCTATGTGCGTGACGGTGGCGACGCGTAGCATTTACAACATTTGCGGAAACTGTCAAATAATGACAATGTAAACATTATAATTTTCTTTGCAAAAATAAATAAAACCAAAGATGAAAATATTATTGTTGACATTATTTAAGTGCAATTTATTCAATAGTTTTACTGTAATATAATAATAGAAACCGGGTTTGCATCATCCGCATTTGTTTCCAATTTCTGCCGTGTTGTGCGCTGCGGTCGTTATCTGTCCCGCCACTACTCGATTTGCACATAGCCAATGTATTGAAAGAAGAAAACGAGAATTATTAGTTGATTATGCGACACTTATTTAGATTTGACAAACATTTTTTGGCATTTACAGCTTTATGAAATGTCTGCACAGAAGAAAAAGCTTTCTAGCCGTACCATATAAGCAACTCTGCGATGCAGCAACGTTTAGTTTACCCTGAGGGCCGTTGATTAAACTAACATTATTCTATTAACCAATAACTATTCATTTCCTTTCGCCAGAGTTGTATGCAAAATGAAGATAAGTAGACATGACAACATATATAGGTACCGTACTAAATAATAATATTAGGTATTTTGCCTAAGGAATGATAACCATTGTGAAGATTGTAATATAACATCACGATAATTGTCTGAAAGTGCTAGCAGAGATATTGGAAAGATAAATTAATAGCGCATATAAATTTTCTTCAACTTCAACCAAACCAAATATTTTGTGATTATCATTTTAATAGGCGACAAGACTATAACAATTATTCTCTGGGCGATGTTCCAGTTTCCACGTTATTTATGAGAATTCCCTAAATTCAATTATGCGAAGAAGAAGCCTATTTAATCCCTAACATTTGTTTAAGAACCTTATGTCGGAATACTGAAACGCTACTCAATTTTAAGTCGTGCTTAAGTATAGTTCTATCTCTATAAATTCTTTGTAAAAAGACGGAGATGGTTGGATGATTTTCACCATCTACAAAGCTCTACATCATAACTAGAAACTACAATAACAACCCATAAATAAATCCAATTCTCCAACTCAATCAAAACTGGAAGGACACTAGAGAAATTTCATTAAAAATCCCATTTTACAAGTTGCACGTTACGTACAGACGGCCATTATGAATTCAAGATGGCGGCGGTCCAAGCGAGTGCAGTCAGAGCGATGCACTATGCACTTTATTTATAATACAGATCGGAGAAAGGTCGGGAGGACGACCCAATTACCTCACAATATACAGTCCATTTATATTGATAAATGCTGTAGTTTGTTTGTTTGTATATTTATTGTTGTTTGTTTGTATATTGTTAATTGGATTTGGTTCTGCTGATGATCTAAGTACTCTTTTGGATTAAAGCTGTGTGTTATTCGTAAGGAAATAGGTAATAACGAAATGTTTTTAAGTTTACCCAATTTAAATTCTGAATATTTTTCGCATTTTTTTTGTATAAAGTAGTGATCAATTTAGGTAGAGGTTTCGGCAAGGACATTGTTAATATACAACATACAAATGTTCTTGTGCCTCGTTGGCCGAGTGGTCGCAAGTGCGACTGCCGGGTATGGGGTCTCGGGTTCGATTCCAGGGTCGGGCAAAGAACTACCGGATTTTAAAAAATTCTCAGTAGTAGCACGGACTCTGGAATTGTGCCCGGTACATAGCAATAGGCTCACCCCGTATTACATGGGACTTATAACATAAATAGTGAAAGTGGATGTAAAATTGTACAGTGGCATTAATGTGCGTAATGTGCACCCCTGCCTACTCCTTCGGGGATAAAAGGCGTGATGTTATGTTATGTAAATATTCTTGTTAAAAAAACATCTCTATTTAATACTTAACTTTGACTAGATTTCTAGTTACTTTTATTTATTTATTTATTTATTTATTACACCCTGGAGGACTTACAGCTAAAACTACATAAAAATAGAAGTGAACATAAACTACTGAAAGCCAATTACAAGTCCTCACGTATCAAAGTCAAAGTCAAAGTCAAAAGTCAAAGTCAAAGTCAAAATCATTTATTTCAATTAGGCCAGAATGGCACTTTTGAACGTCAACAAAAAGAAAATTACAAGTGAAGCTATTTGCTCATTCCAAGGTGTAGATTCCTATGGAGAAGAACGAGCAAGAAACTCCATAGGTTACTCTTTTTCAATCAGGTTCACAATACAATTTAATAGTTACATAGTTTTGCTGTTTGGATTGTGCGAGAACAATGTAACACCAAAATCCAGTCAAAGTGATTGAAAAAAAAATAACCTTAAAAACAATAAAAAATACAGTCTGGAGCTGACCAGTCCCAGTTGACGGCGCCCGTTCACGAACATGACACATACACCAGCACCGCCCAACTCAACCATATTGTAGGGAATCGAGCGATCCACTGCACGCGCCACCGCCAATGAGACCTTTGAGTGAGCATGACAACTCCAAGCTGACACAAATAAATTTTACTAATCTGATTTAATATTAAGTTAATTACAGGGCTCTCACATTTACAACGCTTATCTAAGTTAAACAACATACAATTTAGCAATATGGTTGTATTATTTACGATTTCATTAAAACAACAGTGTTTTTAGTTATCCTGTGGAGCCGGACTAGCCTGCATCCAAGCATTTTTATCCTCTATATATTCATTAAGTTTGTAATATGCTTGTCTACATAAAGTTTTCTTTATACATAATTTAAATTTGGATTCATTTAGTTGTTGTACATCGCCTGGTATCTTATTATAACATTTAACACAGAATCCCATGAACGACTTACTTACTTTCGCTAATCTCGAAATTGGCTGACTTAATCTATTCTTATGTCTAGTTTGATAGTGGTGTCTGTCCGACACTTTACCAAATAACTAGGTTTTTCCTAACATACATAATGTTTTCATAAATAAATTGACATGGAACGGTCATAATGTTGATCTCCTTAAACCTTTCTCTGAGAGATTCGCGACGACCTAGATTGTAGATAGCTCTGACGGCGCGCTTTTGTAAGATAAAGATAGACTCAATGTCAGCAGCGTGTCCCCACAGCAAATACCATACGACATAATGCTATGAAAGTAACTGAAATACACTAGTCTTGCCGTGTCTATGTCAGTTAACTGTCGTATCTTCCAGACAGCATAAGCTGCAGAGCTCAATCGTCCCGCTAATGATGTAATGTGAGGACCCCATTGTAATTTGTCGTCTACAGTAATTCCCAGGAAAGTTGTCTCTTTTACAAACTCTAATTTCTCACCATTCAATATTATGTCACATTCGTTGCTTTTAACATTTGGCAAAACAAATCTAATACATTTTGTCTTTTTATTGTTGAGTACTAAGTTATTTAATGTAAACCAATTTTGAACTTTCATTAGGGCATTATTTACGTCGTCATAACTATTTGTACGTCTATTAATTTTAAAAACTAATGAAGTGTCATCAGCAAATAATACCATCTGCGGTTCATTTTTAAATAAATGGGGCAAGTCATTTATGTAAGCTAAAAATAAGAATGGACCTAGTATCGAGCCCTGCGGTACACCCATAGATATGCTAGCACCCTGTGAATTTACTTTATTTACTTGTACTTTAAGTTGCCTATCCTGAAGGTATGACTTCAACAGATTTAGCGACGTCCCCCGAATGCCGTAGTGTTTCAGCTTCAGCAATGTCTCATGTTCAACACAGTCGAATGCCTTCGAAAGATCACAAAATATGCCGATGGCATCCCGTGCTTCTTCCCAAGAGGCGAACACCCGCTTAATTAGAGCTACTCCCGCGTCAGTAGTGCAGCGACCTTTGGTGAATCCGTATTGTTGATCATGAAAGATAGAATTCATGTTAAAGTGACGCAACATCTGAGAAAGCATCAGCCTTTCAAACACTTTGCTGAGCGCTGGTAAAATAGAGACCGGCCTATAGTTATTCGGTTCTGCACTATCACCGGATTTAAACAATGGAACCACTTTACTGTGTTTCATTAAATCGGGAAAACTCCGTGATCTACACTTTTATTAAAAATGAAAGCTAAATGAGGCGCTATAGTCTCTATAAAAGACCTCACACCCTAACAGACATTCCCCAGAGATCTTCAGTAGACTTAACTTTGATCTCTTTGAACGCTTTAATTACTGCTTGGGGGTTTGTGTATTGAAATCGAAACTCAGAAAGGCACTCCTTGATATTACTTTTAAGAAGTTCGACGGAAAGAGTCGGAGATGATTTCAATGCTTCCGTAGTTTTAATCGGAATATTTTTAAAGAAACTTTCAAATTCCTGGGCAACTTTCAAATTTGAATTCGCAGTATTTAGATTAAATTCAGCACTACGTGATTTATTTCTACCTGTCTCGTCATTAATTATATTCCAGGTAGTTTTTATTTTATTTTCTGCGGTCTTAATTTTATTGGTAATGTAAAGTGCTTTAGCCTGCTTACAAACTAATTTAAACGTTTTCGAATATTTGGAGACATAAATGTGAAAAGCCTCACTATGATTAAATGGTTTCATACCGTAAAGCTCAAATAACCTTTCCCTACTTATGCGTATACCTGGTGTAGCCCAGTCACAGAATACCAACTTGCATTGAATGTTTTTGCGTTTTACAGGGAATAATTTATCAAATTGAGTTTTAATAATTGACAATAGGTTGGCGTAAATCTCACTCGGGTATTCACAATCATGTATTTGACCGCATAAATCATTTTTTAAATTATGATTTAATGACTCAATTTTTTTATTTGAGATCTGTCTAAACATTAATTTCATTTTTTGAACAGTTGTGATGGTGTTAAAGCTAACTGTCAGCCCACTGTGATCAGATGATAATTTATTAACAACATCTTTATGTAAATAATCACAGTTACAAAAAATATTATCTATACATGTTGCCGTGGTGGATGTTACACGGGTGGGCTCAAGGAAAAACGTTA